ATATATATATATATTTACGGAGTCAATGTTCTTTCATCTCAGAGATTGCTTATCGACAAGGCACCAGTCAAAATCAATCAACTTATCTTTCGATCATACAAATCATTTGCATACAGCCATAAATGATGTACGGAAACAAAAGAAAGAATAATTACATGAGAATCTGCGCGTCTTTCGGTAGGTTTCAACTGCATCATCATCTTCTACAGGTCACAACACAAGTTAAGATGGCTACAACTTGGTGGTCAACAGCAGATTCCGAAATCCACAACAATTACTGCGGGTGTAAATTGCAGGAATCTCAGCATGAGAAAGCAACATCGATACGCCATGGAACTGTTCCAAAGAAGAAAGCAAGGTTGATGATGCAGATACATGGCGGCAACATGGAACGATGGAATCACCATTGCTGTGGGAAGGACAAGGTTGGTTACCTTGTTTTGCTTGTACTTTTCGCTGATGCCCACCAAAGACGCTGCTCTCTTCTTCCACTGCAGGTCGTGTATGGCATGGACGCAGTCCTTCAGGTCACTCGCTTTGTACTCGGTACACTGTTCCAGTTTCCTGTTCTGCAGAGCAGAGGAAGGAAAGGTATAAGAAGAGCAAAAGCTGCGAATCAAAGTTCCGATCCAGCGGAGCAGAATCATACCCATGGATGACTCTTTGGATTCAGTGTGAATCTCGCAACGAATACAGCTGAAGCAGCGATCACCGACGGCAAGAACTGCACGCAGCCATAGTCTACCAAGCTCAACTCCGCAAGGTAGCTTGCCAGAAACTCCAGTTGCGCACCCCAATTCTGTATCGAGTTGACATAGCACGCATGGAGCTAAAGATCAAATCGGAAGCAGAATGCATGAGAAGAGAATTGACACTCACTTTGCCATCTTCATGACCAGCCTCCGTGAATCGCCTACGAGAACAACGATTAGCCCGATCAAACCACAAAGAGGATACGACCATCGATGGATGGAGAAGACGAAATGATACCTCAGGAAGGTCTTGATGGTGGGACTACCCATCTCAAACTTGAGACACTTGAGGATGTCCCTCTCCATCGTCTTCATCTGTGCCGACGAAGGGAAAGAGAACTAAATGTCGATCGACAAGCCCCATTCAAGCGGAGAGAAGGAACAGAGGTCGAAGAGGAGATGAACAAGAAGGTACGTACCTCCTGCTGGTTGTAAGCATTAGCCGTGATATCACAGAAATTTTCGATACTTGGATGGTATATCTCTTCGTACTTCCTGCATCCGAAAACATTCATCAACAGAGGGATCGTTCGAGGAGAAAAGGAATCATCTTTAGCCAAAACAAAGCACATCAGAACATACGCAGCAACGAACATAGAGGAGACCCCGAGGAGCTGCAGCCGCTGCGTCCTGATCGCTTTGGAGGAAAGGAACAGGTCGATGTACGAGACGGCGAGGTAAAGCGTGTTGGGGAGCAGTTTGTATTCCTCAGCCACCTGCACCAGCCAATCCACCAGAATCCCCCTCATGTCAGCCGTCACTTCTCTCTGAATAGCCTCCATGTAGTTCGCCGACGGCCTCCGCTTCGCCTCCACCTACATCCACAAAACCAAAACTCATGCTTTCCAAACGGAAAAAAGCAGCGATCTTTATCCGAGAACCAACCTCCATCGATCTGAGGTGCCGATAGATATCGGTGGTGTACGCCGCGCACATCCGTGGGTCATCGACGGGGGAGTCCTCATCCATGGAGGCGGCGGCGGTCTGTGCCGGAGCAGCTTTCCTAGACGTGGGTATGGATGTCGATGGGCGAGGGGTGCAGGGGACGGCGAACTCGGAGTGGATGGAGAGTTCGCTGTACTTCCTCTTGTCCCGAAGCTCCCTGGCTGCCTTCTTGGCCCCCGCACGGGGGAGGCGAGGGAAGCAGTACTCGAGCGGCATGCCTCTTTGCTCTCGCTTGGCTGGGTCCGACGGAGAGGAGGAGAGAAGGGGAGAGGTGGCCTTCGTATATAGAGCGGGGAGTGTGGGAGAAGTAGTAAGGCGGCCATCTTTACGAGGAATCGATTGAGCGAAGAGAGAGTGAGCGAGGGAGCGAAGGGGGAGGAAACAGAGGCTTGGCCAAGTGAGGAAGGGAGGGAGAAGAGGGAAGAGAGGAGCCATCGCGGGGCGCATACCATTACTTCGCATAATTATATAATTACATATATATATATATATATATATATATATATGTTCATAATTTTAAATAAATATATAATATAATAGATAATTTACCAAAAAAAACCCTTAATATTACGATTTTACCGAATAGTGTCTATATATTTAGTTTTTATCGAAAGATATTTTTTTAATTCTAATAATACTTTTAAATCGATCTATTTCAAGCCACATATTGGTTTGATATGGACGATTCATTAAATCGGACGGGTCATTACGAATTGAGATAGACTTTATTAAATATATGAGTAAGAATAACTAATATATTTTTATCAAACAAATTCAAACTTTTATATGATAAACTAGCAAATCAATATAAGATATTTAATATTATTTTTTAATTTTTTATGATTTTATGGTGAATAGATTTTTAAAGATGATATCTTTGGGTTGAATCAAAAAATGAATACAACCACTAAATTTTATTAAATGTATCCAGAACTACTAGGATAAGATAATAATATATTTATCTTTTTTATTTTTTATTTTATATAAATTTAAAGTAATTATTATTTTTTAAATATAATATTTTTTGGGTTGAATTACGATGGAGTGTAACTATTTGAATTTTTACTAGGTATATCCAAACTTATCTTGAACTATTACTATATTGAGATGCTAATATGTATGTTTTCTTTTTTATTTTTGTATGAATTTAGAATGATTAATTTTTAAAATATTATATTTTTGTGTTGAATTCGTGATCCAATATAATTAAAGCGTAACTTTTTAAATTTTCACCAAGCCTATATTTGGTACTATTAGGGTGAGATATTAATATATTTCTTTTTGTTTATTTATTTATTTTATGAGTTTAAGGTAATTAAGTTTCTAAATATGATATTTTTGATTAAATATATAATCAAGTATAACACAAGTTAATTTTCAACAAACCAATTCAAACTTCTATAGTATTATTAGCATATTATTATAAGATATTTAGCATAATATTTTCTATTTATAATGAATTAACAATAATTTTATATAAAAATTAATATATTTTTAATATATTCTATGAATGAGTATAACTCGAGTGTAATAATTTTTTGGATAACTTAAAATATTTTTTATATAAAAAATAATATATATTTTTAGAATAACTTAAGTTTTTTAGTTTTATTATAAATTTAAAATTTTTATATAGAATATATATATATATATATATATATATATATATATATATATATATACTAT